TAAGGACAAGCGGGCTAATCCAGATTTTGGGGGGGTTTCCAGAAATGTTGACCTACACCAAAAGTGGGCATTGTCCCACCTATAGGAGAAGTTTCGTTTCTTTGGTGTGTATTTGTTTGGATATACAGAAAGCTCTTCTTGTCTTTTAAAGAAATTTAACAAGGGGCAAAAACTATACCTTCGATTTTCTCAAAACAGCATTTTTCGGGATAGCCCCCTTTTGTTTAAAAGCGACCAATTATATTATTGTGTTGTGGAAAGCTTTGTACTTGCATTTCTTCAATACACTGGCAAGACTCAAATTTGATTCTCATTCTCGTTGTTCGTGTTGTTGTTATTAATGTTGTCTGTTTGTTTGTTTATTTATTTATGTGCTTTCTTGGTTTTTTTATGTTTGTTTGTTTTTTCCCTTCGTCAAAATTTCTATATAGAGAAAAAAGTTTTCTTATCAGCATGAGATGTGATGAGATGATGACATGTTAGTCTGTCTCTTTAAATTTTAGGGAAAAAATTGTTAGTGCTTGAACGCCAGTGAAGATGCATATATTACCAAGAAAAACCCATAACTTTCATTTAATTTCTCTTTTCTGTTATTATTTTTTCTCTTTGTTTACTCATTGTTTGCACAACAATTTTATTGTATTTAACCCTCCAAAACGTGCGGATAGTTACTGTGGTTTTTTCAGTGTAGATTGTTTTATGTTGCATTAGACACAGTTCATATCCTTTAGGATTGGGAGGCTAGCTTCAACCTTGTTTGTCGGTGCTAACTCTCGCTAAAAATGATACAATGTCCAAGCAGAAAAAAAGAAGATACTCCCTACAAATTTAAGGGGAAGCGCCTAACTGCTACAATACAGACGCTGGTGATCGGCTTGTGTCCACATAATTAATAGCTCAACCATTAAAAACATTGATAGTAACCGATTGCTTTTATTCATAACAAAAAGAAATAGCATCTGTGTCGAGCTTCCAGCTCATTTAATATCGTGATGGACTGTGGAATCCAGAATAAAGTATTTTCCAACTTTGGTTAGTTATGACTTTTCATGGTTTCTCACCTACACAGCTCAGCATATCGAAAGTGGACGTTAACCGTCGACTCTGTTTTATGTGTGTGTGTGTGTGTGTGTGTGTGTGTTTGTGTGTGTGTGTGTGTGTGTGACTGTGGGTGTGTGTTTTAACGCAAATTGTTGTTTTGAAGCTAAAAGGGAAGCCATATGAAATGCCCCCCCCCCCCCCACACACACACCTACCAAGCGGGCTGAGATATGAATAATCAGCAGTAGGGGCGGTTTGTTAACTGGGCGAGACCGGCGTGCGGGTCAAATTTTGGTCAGCTGGACGGATGACAAGAGATTTATCGCTGATAATGATTTTCATTCAGTTTTAAGTAAATCCGAATAAAAATGTACCAACATTCAAAAAGCACCTTGCCGATTTGAAGGCGTTCAAATAGACAAGTAGGATTCACTGCTGTTTTGTCTCGACAGAGCCTCATTCCTTCACCTTTGTTTATCGCATCGGCTAGTAACTTTAAATCGTCTCCCGTCAAGCCGTCACGTCGCGGAACTTCGTACAAGGACAAATGAACACGGCGGGTACAGCGATGACGTCAGTCCGCTGGACAAATCCATCGACTGCCCTAAGAGCGAATATAACATCCCTTGATTGCCAAATTGGCCTCCGTGTTGCTAACAAAATCAGTAATGAGACTGTCTTGAGTCTTGAGCAGCACAAACACATGAAATATTTTATCAGCAATACATGTAGGCCTACTTATCATTCAGCCTTTCTCTAACTATCATCAGAACATTTATTGTCAGCATGGCACTAATCTTTTTTGTTTATTGAATTTTTAGCCACCTATAGCTCATGTTTGGTGACTATTCATTGTTTTCTCCCCACTAATAACATACCTGGCCCCCAATGAGTCTAGCCGGCGAAAAGAGGAATCGTCTAGTGAAGATATATATAAGGAGAATTATAACAAGGACGCGATAGGCCCTCGCGGTCAGAGTCTGGGCCGAAAACAATGGGCCTACCTCCTCCCTTCCCTCTCCTTATCCACCATCACCCCAGCTAGACACCAAGTTCTATAATTAGTATTTGACACACTTCCCCACTCTGTTACAACAGTGTTCTGAGAACTGAGAAGTGTGATAAAGAACGTTTGATTACATAATGATGAAAAACTTTTGTGTGCTAACTTTGTCCATCTTTGTATAGTAACTGATTGTGAACTTAATCTGCATGGGACAGCGTCATTGGTACAGTATCAAGTTCTTATTACATATTTACAGGTCGAGTGCACGTCGATATTGTGTGTGGGTGTGTAGAAAGTAAAAGTCTTTGGTTAAAGTACCGGAGACCATGACCAGCAGTTTATTGGGCTTCTCACTTTCAGTTTGTTTTCTAGCATAGACTCTAGTAATGTTTCTTTTTCTATGCTGTTCAAGTCAGCTTCTATTAACTCAGTAACTTCCTTCATACATTATTC